TGAACATTAATAGTAATCTCTAAAGCAAGAATGAGAGGTGATGCTGCACATTGTAAATATTGCATTTTCATCAATATCTTTTTTAAGTTAGTAAGAAAGAGACCAGGGCAAATCTCAAAGTAAGGAAGAAGTTCAAAAGCGTATGTTGGACAGTCAGTGCCCATGGCACCTGTAGGACACATTAAGGGTGAGCACAATTGCCAGTATCAATTTCATGCTGCTTAAGTTAGAGACGTTCTCACCTGGAGCTTGGGTGCCATGGAAATGTATGAAGATCCAAGAAGAATTGAGTGCTGCTATACTTGTTCTCATCCCAAACAGAAACAGTCTCAGGCAAATTGAGGTTTATTTTTAATAATATTTATATTTTGAAGGGGCCTAAGATAGCCCATTTACTGAAAAATGATGTGTTAAGGACAGATCTTACATCAGAACAGGGTGTGATAAAGAAGTTACAAAAGTATACCCAAAGATAATCTAAGCTGTGGAGGACAATGGAGTGTTTTCCTCCCTTCCCCATACTAATATGAGAGGTAAGCAGCGGCTTGTTATCGTTATTGTCATACTGAGCACTTGGTTGTTACTGAGCTGACTGCCAGAGCAGTGAGATGAAGCAAGAATGTGGCACTCCTCTGAGGCATTCATCTGCTGATGAACAGACCTTATCATGTGGGAACAGGAAAAGTGGTATCAAGGCATCCCTTGCATCCTGGAATGGAAGGCATCCATCTTCTTCCACTCACCCAACAAAACTCACTGATACACATTTCACATCAGATGGCTGTAACGTCTCAGGCTGGTAGGTGTTTAGATGCCGAAGAAGCAGTGGAATTTGAAAAACAACAAGCCTTAGAAACTGCAATTATCCTTCCCATAACTTTACTGGCCCCAGGATCAGGCAGAGGCAGAAGCATCTGCTTCTCCTAACACCACTGCTTTAAGTTTGGCTGCAGAAAAAAGGGATGACAATTTTAACGTGCAGGCAAGTTTGACATTTGTATCCCAGTCTTCCAAAGAAATAAAGGCTTTGGCCATGAGGTGCGTGTTCAGACTGCCCAACTTGTTTCTGAACTGCTAGAAGGTAGTCAGGGCTTTTGGTTTATCTGTGCACCAACATCTCACTCTCAATGACAACATCTGTCTTTAACTACAGTGTCTCAACATTCTCTACTCAAATGCAGCTGCTGCACAGGACCAGGAGCACTACAGCAATATACCTCAGTGCAGTTACTTGCTCTGCTGTGTCCCACTTTGGGTTGGCTGCAGCTCCCATTATGCATCTGGAGGCGTTTCACTATTTAGATGATTACCATCAAGCTCAGACTTTCATTGTTGCACAATAAGGATCAGTTTGCAATCACATGTTTTGGAATGCTTTCCGGCCATTTATCACACAACTAATCTCAGCAACCCCCTTTCAGAATGTTCTAAAAAAGCATTAATGTCTAAGTGTTCTGCAAGCATGGTTAGTGATAGGATGTTGAACAGTGAAAACTATTTTCACTTTGATACAGACTATCCTATTCTGACTTCCGAGCATGTTTGGGTAGGTATAACATTATAATTTGCATGGGAGACAATATTTAGCAAGAACACAAAACACTAGGCATTGCTAACATTCACCCCGGGTAAAAAGCTTTCCCACTGTCCAGTCATATTTCACACTTTGCACACTAAACAATGCTCATTTCATAAAATAGTCGCTGCACTGAACTCTGCCTCTGGCAAATGCAGAACAAGACCTATCCAGAACCATGATGTCTTATGCCAAACAAAACCACTTTTTTTTTTTTTTTTTTTTTTAAGCTAGAATTTTTAGGGTGAAAAAATGGTATCTGTACTCACTAAGCCAGCAATTTTCTCAGGAGATGCTGTTTCATCCTCACTTACTTGGGACCTATTTGTCTCCTCTGCCATGGCAAACAACTGAGCAGTTTTGACTGGCTACATGGGCTTCTGCATCATCAGCGTGAGGTGGTGGAACCACTCACCAAAGTTGGGGTTCTGTTTCTTGTACAGGCAACCCAAAACAATCCAGGTGAAGGTTTACGTTGTTTCTTTAGAGAAATAACATCTTCCCCCTTTCCCACAGTCCAGACTATTTCCATAGTGCTTGAGATTTACTGAAAAATGAATGCTATGACTAATACTGAAAAACACTTAAGCTTTCAGCCAGAAGACTTTTTCATTTTCAAAAAAAAAAAAAAACACCTGAGTTTTTCACTGAAAACATACAGATTTTTCAAGCAGTCCTATTTGTTAAGAACCACTAAAAATTCTGTTACTGGATTTCTTAGTCCTGGCCTAAGTACATAGTCTAAAAAAAAAAAAATCATACTACTGCTATGGAAAAAAAAGTGAGATTATGTTAAGCAAGCATGGTAAAAAGCATTTCAGTTCCCATTAACTAAATTAATTTAATCATGACAAGAACATGAAGAAAACAACTAAGAAGTTGAAGAAACTCCCCTTTTGGCCCTGGAAAGTCCATTTCCTCCATTTCTTAATATGTATGAGATGCAGAAGAAATCTTTGCTGGCAGCACTTCAGTTCAAGATAAAAATTACAATGCTGCAGTGCACAATGGCAAAAGCATTTCACAAAAATTCCTGTTGAGCAATTAGAAAAAAGATGTATTATTCTCCTCAGATCATAAGAATTAGCTTGATTTCTACTTCAGAAAGTAATTCAGAACATTTCAAACAGCAGTTATTATGCATTTTAAATTAAGCAAGTCTGAATAAGTTGTGACTGAAAATTTGACAGAGCTAATCAAGAAGCTCTCTGGATCACCAATACTATTTAAATGAATTTCACACTTCTAGGAAAGATTTCAGAGGACTCAAGTGAGGAAAGAACTAATACAGCATCAGCTTTTCAGTAAGTAGGTAGACTGATTTAAACTGACATAGCAGGAAACAGAAATAATGGAATAACCCATAATTTTTGATCATTCCAGGATATAGAAAGCAAAAGCTTACAAGAAATAGAGCTGGTCAGATAAACCTGACTCTTTAGAGTTCAGCTAGAATTCAAAATTGGTTGAAGACAAAGCCAACGCCCATGTAGTATTTCTATTACTCATGGGCATTTAGAAGTGTGCCACATGACAGACTGAAGCCAGAAAATTAACTGGCTGGTATGAAATATGTTGCAACTATGGTTTCTGAATTGTATACAGACATTAAGCACAATCTTCTATTCTTATTTTAAAAATTGGTTATTTACTATAACATTATTTAATATTATTTTCAATAAAATGCTCCAATTAAAAATGCATTTAAATTATCATAAAGGATCCAAAGAAGAGTGCCACAGAGGATCCAGAAGACTTGAGTCTATTTACTTATTTTTAAAAAGAAAGCTGAAGAGTGACTTGTTCAGTTTGAAAATGCCTACAGTGAAAAGAACAATGCCACACCATGAACTTCAGTTTAGGAAATAGATGAAAGATCTGACAGCTGGGTATGGAAAGATGACAAATTCAGGCACAATGTGAGAAGCATGTGCTTAATAGTAACTTATAGTAAATTATACTTTAAACAATTAGGGTGGACTCAATTCTAGGAACTTTTAAATCAATGCAGGATGCTTCTAAGAACAGCTTTAGTTCAAACAAGAATATGAGGAAGTCTTGGAAACTGTGCTCAGCAAGAGAGCAGACTGAACACATGGTGTTTCCTTCCATCTTCTGAATCAGATTACACTGGAACTGTAACATTTTTCTCACGAAAATACCTCAAAGGAGGTAGGTTTAAAAAGGGAAGAGAAGTGGGCATAAGCATTTTGGACACATAGGACCATGCAATACAGTTGGGACTATGTGACTGCATTACACCACAACCTGTAAGAAGCATCACCTAGGCACAGCAAGTGCGTAAAGTTGTGTAGGCAGGAAGGGACCCTACATTTTTGTACTAGAAATTATGAAAATGAAAGCAGTAACAGCATGCTATATTCAACCTAGCAGATGCCAGAAATTTTGCATGCCAGGAGATTGCTCAGCCCAAGCCTGCAGGGGTACTGTTCCTTTCAGACTGTTTTTATCATGAGAAAGAAAAACAAGACAGATGCAATGCACCTGAAATAAAAAATTCACCTTTTTGGGCTTAGTGAAGTAAAGGCAAAGAAGCCTGACATGCTGCAGATAACAATGTAAAGGAAAAGGTAGTCAGAAGAGACAGAAACCTGAGAATTTCCTGCTTGAATTGTATCCACACTTTTGTGAACATAAAATTTGCAAACATTGAATTTCTAGTCTCAGGAAATAAAATTACTCCACTTGATAGCACTCCTTTTTGGATATAAGGTAATGAGATTCAAGTTGTCTTGGCTGGTGCCACATAAGAGCTTTGTATTCCTTGTACCGTGGGACAAAATCTCATGCCACGAGGCTGCTGGATGTTTTGGGCATGACTGCCTAGCTCTCCCTGCAAGTCATGTTTGAACAAAAGAAAGACCACGCAGACAGCCACATTTGGAAGAAATGTGTTTTGGTGAAAAGCTGGTATACAGATTTAGATGGAGAATTTTCTTCAAGAAAGGAGTGGAACATTTTTTACTCCAATAATTCTTTCAGTAGCCAAGATTCTTACTTTACAATTTCAAACTTCTACATACCCAGCTGACAGGATGAAGACACAGCGTAGGAGTTCACCCTGCACAGACGGTGAGCATAATGTACACTCATCACGGAGACAACAGCTCAGAGATGGAAAAATCCTTCCAGGTTGTTCATGACAGATCTATGGCAGTGGTCACCTACGACAATATATTTTTAGAGTTCTGTACAGCCCACTTCTATGCATGCTCCTCCCAGAGACCCTATAATTCGTAGATACTGTTAAAGCTCACATGACTCTCTCCAGAGAGATACATCATAGTATCACTTTTGTATCTGCACGTTCCCACATGGGCAACATGCTGCTGTGGAGCTGTATTTAAAGCATGCTTTGGAATCAGGGACTTTGCAGTTCAACAGCACTAAATAATCCACAAAGTTTTCAAGTACATACTTTATTTCATTCATATTTCACAGTCAATTTCTGTAAAGTTTTAGCAAAAAAGTCATGTTCTATAACAGAGGTGTTAGGGTACAGTATTCAGAGCTAGCAATGGGCTTTGAAAGTACAGAAAATACCTACATTCCAACTAGAACAGTAGAATTTCAAAAAGACATAGTAAAAGTAATCAAAAATACCAACATTTATTAAAACTTAATACAAAAACCAGTCTGTCTGACCCATCAAGCTACCCCACTTGTAAGTTGTCAACAACTGAAGCTGTAGCAGGCCATCAGACGGATTAGACCAGGACAGCTGTCTTTAGCTAACTTCTTAATACCAAATCTTGCAGCTTTGAGGATTAAAAGAAACTGAGTTCATTGCTTACAGTTTCCATTCAAGGCTAACATTTCTGTTCAAATCTACTGGACCACTTTCAGATCCTGCCCAGAATCTGGACTTATCCTGTTCCTGATGTAGTCAACTAATTTTCCAAATGCATTTCCAAGCTAACCTATTTTATTACATTGTAGCCAAGAAAGGAAAGCCCTTATTGTTTTAAAGCTTTATCAGGGCTCCCAGAAATAAAGGCAGCTAAGAAAACTGAACAGAATGGTATCTGATGACATATTTATCACCAGAGACCTTCAACATCCTTATTTTTTTATAGATGTTAAGGTTCCCTATTATCCAGGGATATGCTTCCTAAGGAGCCCCAGATTTAAGTATGAGTTCCAGAGTGGATTTTTCTAGTAAATACTATTTAAGTCTGGACTGATGCCCAGTAGAAGATTTCTAACCAGCTGCTAAACTTTATTCACAGATTTATTGAACATATACTTATACAAATTACACCAGCAGAAAGGCCCATTAGTTCTAAGCACACCCACTTCAGCCCACCCTCCATACTGTCAGAGAAAAAGTCCATGTGGTACTCCAAGGACTACAAGAGATTTCCACCAGCTAAGTCTCCCTAAGTCAGAAGGTACTGCCCTGCAAAGCAAGTTCTTCATTCCTTTATACTCTATTAGAGCAGTGGAAAGAGAATGGAGAAGGTCACTGGTAGACTCATTTTTCCTTGTCGCAAACAGCTACGACTGGACTTCATTTTTTCTGCCTCCTTTCATCTCTAGGTACCCTGAGCCCATCTCTTGTTTTCTAGGGCAATCGCTTCCTAAAAATATATATTCTGAACTTCAAATTCTCCTCTCTATTCAATTTCTCTAAATAAAAAAACTAAGGAAGGGGATGGGAAAAGGACTTATTTCACCTCACACCAACTCCCTTCACCTACTTGGAACTGATGATGGCCCAACAGTGGGCCTGTTCTGCTGATACACTCTCAGAAATAACTGTGTGAAGATGGGAATAAAAAGATGCTTGCGGAATACTGCAAATTACTGCCTTCACTTCAAGAATGGGAACATGCCAGCACATACAAACTTCTTCAGACCAAGGAATTACAGAGTTAGCACGAAATTCAGGTCATGCTGCAGTACTAAGTACTCATTCTGTCTTAAACCCACCATGCTATTCCAGTCCTACAGCTGGCTCTGAAGACAAATTGTTAATGGCAACGCAACTTTGCAAATCTTTGACTCAAAAAATGCTCAAGTAGAAGTTTGAGACAGGAAAAAAGGAGGCACAGAAATAACTTGACCAACAGCTATGCACATTTTTACTACATGTTGGGATAAGTGGTGTCTTCAAGGTTGCTATCAGCTTTATCAGATCCTGTTAGAGATGCTTCTAGCTCTGCCCATGACTGTGGAGCATTGTTCTTTATTGCCTCTATGAAAAGTTGTGTTTGGTGCTTCAGCTGGTCCAGCTCAGCCTGCGTCACTTGGTTCTGATGAATGAGCTCCTTGGTTTTTAAAGTGATCTCCAGCAATCCCGACCTGCGTAGCACAACAAGTGTATTCTGAAAGCGTCTGCACTTGCTTTGCTGCTGCAAGAGCAGCTCAGGGGTAGTGCAAACCTCTTCTGGTATCAATGGAGGGCTCCACACTGCAGAAGGCATTGTAGTCTGTGACGCACTCTCGCTCTCATGAGGGGTGCACTTTGCTGCCTGCAGAGTTCCAAAAGGCAAAAGAGGAGTCAAACCCGGCACTTTCTGAGCATCACTGGAAACACGATGAAAACCAGGAAGAGTTGACGGTTTTCCACTTGTCACCAGAGCTGAAGAATTTTGCTGGCTAGAATCCTGAGGGGTCTTAAAGCTAACTGGTAGGTGGGAAAAAGAACTAGCAGGCAAGCCTGTGCTCATCAGTCCAGGAGAAGTCTCCATCTTGGGTGCTTCTGTGCAGAGTCGTTTATGGCAAGTGGTTTCCTGACATTCTTCTACATCAAAGGAGTGATCTCTTTTGCAGGGCTGTGGTGCTATTTTGGGATAAGAATTCAGGATGGGCAGGTAATTAGTGGAGTCATTTCTCTTTTTCCCAACAGGGTGAGGATTAATGGGAGGCGGGATTGATGGACGAAGAAACACTAGCTGTGGCTGAGCTGGAATCACTTCAAAGGATGGCTGCACAGTCCAAGACTGGAGCTGTGATGAACTCCCCTAAGAAGCACAAACAGGGAAAAACCACAAGTCTTACAAAAGTGTTGTAGAAGAAGATAAAAACAAATTTAAACGAAACAGATGGGCTGTGCCATTTTTCTACATTTGATATATACCGTCCAATTAATGTGTTATGAAGAGTTTGCTATTAAACTCATCCTTCTCTTTCTCTGACAATGGAACATAATGCTGGAAATAAAGCTGTAATCCATAATCCTTTTACTATGCAACAGCAGATATATTTAAAAACAATTCAATTTGAATTTATATATGCTTTCCTAAGTGAGGATTACAGTGAAAGCTTATATTGTAAACGCTTCATTAAAAAGTTTGACCCAGACTTGGGGTTAAACTACAAGTGCACAGGAAAGCTGAAAAATAATTAAGCTTTCTGTTATGAACAATCTTAAGAGTCAAGGAAAGATTGCACAGCCATTTTAGGAACAATTCAGGCTCCCTCTTTGTTGAAGGGTATCAACTCAAATCTTCTCAAATCTATCCTTATAGCAAGATTTTGAAATGGTTATTTAAGATACACAACAGATGTTCAGAAGTCTTGTAATTTGAAGTAGAACGCACAGTTTCAGTGAATTTAAAAGTATGAAACAGAAAAAAAAAAGGCTGACTATCAACCAATGCAAGGAGAAAAGCCTGCGGTAAGCCCAGAGGAGTTTAACTTCGTACCTCTGGGGAAACAGTGCGCATTGATAAACCTTAAAAGCATTTTATTTCAAGAACAACGCCCAAGGCTTTATTCCCTCCCACAAGTCATACTCTGGAATATAGGGGAAAACATCAATTTTTACAAGACATTACCTCTTTTCCCTCCAACACCTTACTACAGATCTTCATGAGATTTTCTGGCCAAAAACATGATTGCTTTTCTCCAAAGACATCAAATGGTCTAGTAAGAGACACTATTTATTTCTAAAGGAAAATCTCACTTCTTAATATATTTAAGCCATCACCGCTACAATTATACTAATATATTGTCAGCTGCTTTTTCAATTCATTACAACTTGGAACACAACTGAACCTGCTGAAGGCACAGTTTTAGCTACCACAAATATACATTATTATTTTTAGCCTATATTAAGTAATCTGAAATCCATATCCTTTCCACCAGTCTCATAAGTTTTAAACTGGCAAACGCTAATATGCTTTGCTAAAGTCCATTCCCCCAGTAAAGGACTTGGAACTTACCAAAAGCAGGTATTACCCACTGATTAGGACACTGAGACTTGGAGATAAGATTCAATTACCTACTCTGACACAATGTTTCTTTGGTTCAGTGGGCAAGGTGCTTATGGAATAGGGGTACAGAACAGCTACCTGTAAAAATAAATATTACTACCTTAACACAGAAGAAAGAACATTCGAAAGAAAAGTATCTGGAGATGTAAGAAGTGAGGAAGCACATAAATACTGTAGCTATACATACACAGGACAGAACATGTAGCCTTAAGGAGCAAAGGTTTGGAGCCAGAGGTTGCCATTTAATGCACTGCTGAACAGCACCTAGCACGGCAAAGCCCCATAATCATTGAGGCTGAAAGAGCAGTGGTAACTGTTGGTTACCACTGTTGGTAACTGTTTATCTTGCTCCTGGGTTTTTTCCTATCTTGATTCTTTCTTCTTTTCCTTCTCACATAGCACTCTGCTCTAGTTCTCCTACTCAAGATCTCATTTTCAGTAAAGAAGGCCACTTTTATTTTACTAACTCTGCAAATTCTGTGTTTTGTTGCATTTGTAAATGAAAGCTAACTTCCTGATGTATCAGTATCACTTGCCTAAAAATCCTTCCCACTTACTAAAGACTTTTACAAGACTGACAGAAACCCAACCACAATCAGCACTGGCATTAATCACCACCTGATTTTTTTTTTTTTTTTTAAGCAGCATTACTCTTAGCTGTTTAGATTCTGAAATTGGGCCAGCAGGTTACCCCCACTGTAGAGGATCACAGTGGTTCCGAGACAGAAGGATAATACTGATGGAAACTGAAACTGGAAAAAATAAACAGCAGTAACTGGATCCTGCTTTTTTTCCTTTGGTCCAGCAAGCCCAACTCAGCATTGTGTTGAAAAGACCATTTTAAAAAGATGACCTAAAAGATGGGCTAACTAGGCATAATGAAAAAAGGGAGAAAGACATTTCATTATTATTCTGACCTAGACTTGTTGCTTTCCTTTATTGTAGTAAACATTTTTCAATTTGACATTATTGACTTTAATCATACGTAGTTAGATACTATGATGCACTGTTCAAGAGAACCAAGTGTGGACATTTTATCCATCTTCCAACTCTTCCTTGCCAAATTTTCTTTTTCCTGTACTACTAGAGTTTATATATATATACGTGGTTGGATTTTCTTTTTTATATCTCTCTACATATAAGCTCCTTATTAGTTGCTGCTTCTTCTTATTTGCAACACAACTTGGAGTTTAACACTGGAATCAGTGCAGGTAATGTCTTAATTTCTCTGCTCTGGGCCAAAGGCTATCAGCCTTTAGTGAAACATGCCTATTCCTGACTTTACATATAAAAACTTCAGCATTTGTTTACACAGTATTTTGTCCACACATCTAGGAATGTAACTATAAAATGAAATTGCTTGCCAACAAAAAGCACGATGCTCAGAGAGCAGAATCACCTCCCCCATAACTGTATAATCTGCTAAATACTAACAGTGAATATTAGGTGTTGCTTGTTGTCGTAACAGGTTCAGTAGAAAAAGAATCAGGATTTATAGTCTTTTTTTCCCCTTCCCACTGTATTCTTAGAAGTATTCTAGTAAAAAACATTGAAGAAATTTTGCTCTACTCCAAAAATGAGTGAGTACAGAGCAGGAGGTCTAATACTGTGACTGTACTCTGGACTTCTTATACCGTTTGTTAAAATGTTAAAGTTACACAGGGGGTCTCACAGACGTGCTGGAGGAACTATATATCACAAAAATACTGGAGAACATAAATAGGGACCGTACTTGCTACAATGTGAGCTATCACATTAAATTAAGTGAAACAACTATTAAAGTACAAGTACCACAGCTAACTTCAGATAAGGATTTAACTTTTTAATTTATAACATTCTGGATTAGTGTTTCCCATTGAAGCACTTCTAGAACCTAAGAATGAGGAAACAAACCTATCATCCTACTTCACCATCTTTTTTGAATAAAAAGACACAGCAGTTTTCAAAAGCAAATCACCCTTTTTTGTTTAATCTTTGGTGCTATTATCACAACATTCTTGAAGATATATTTTGGGGGGATTCCTTTGAGACAAAGAGGTTTAGTAGATGGAGATGGAGCAGAGTTTCTCAATTTCACATTCCATCTTAGTGATTCCAGCTGCCTCTCAAAAGAACAGAGAATCATACTAGAACTTCTTAAATTACCATTTTTTTTTCTGGACTGCAACAACATTGCAAAGTCTTTTTTGAAAGAAAAAATGTTTTTTAGAAAATTAAGAACATGCAATATTTTTCAAGATATGATTTCTTCCCTACCTGTTTAACCAACACATTTTTCATAACAACCATAGGAGATAGCGTAGGAAAGGAGCTGCTTGTGGTCCTCGGGCATTGCCAAGGTCCATCCTCTGCATTCCAACACAGCGTGTTCAGCACATCCTCGGAGTCCGTCTGCTCCATAGCACTTGGGCATTCTGAACTTCCATCTGTCAGATGCAGAATTCAGCTGTTAGTTGTTCCACATGCAACATGCTTACTATTGCCTTCCAGTTCTAATATTCTGCATCATTCAACCAAATCACAAAGAACAATAAAGTTTAGTTCTGTAATATCAACAAAATTAAAGCTGCTACGACAGATGTCAGACACCCTCTAATAAAAGGCTTTGTATCTCAGGTCAATTCTTATACAGACATTTTCTCCCATAAAAATTTATTACTTTCTGTTCTTTTGTACTTAGTCTCCAAGGGACTGCATAGTATCATCAAGGTTGCATTAGTCAAAAAACTGATACAGGAAAGCACTACATCACATCCATAGTTTGTGATGCAGGCATTTTGTGTCTTGAAATTTTCTATCTAAAACCCAGTGAAGCAGGTATCTTTCATAGAAGTACTTTTTTTCTTGTTTAAAGGTAATTTTTGCACAGTTTTGTTGATTACTAAAATGGCACAACATGGCTATATTTTACTGATGTTATAACCACTACCCTCTGGTTTATCAGGCTCTGCTGGCAATATGGTCAGATCATAATAGGCACTGGGGAACTTAATCCAACAATTCATTCATCACTGCAAAGGAAAAGTAATTTTGACATCTCCACTTCTACACTCTAAAGTCCAAGATTATTCCATTAATTCTAAATTCCCATGCCATTCAAATTCACTGGATGAACTTTGTAATTTGGTAATGTTCCACTTCAAAAAACTTTGGTGGTAGGATGATTGCAGTGGAAACCTATCCTGCACAGAAAGGCCCTCCAAGGTAATGAGACACAAACTGGAAGGGGTTACTCAGATTTGTTAAATGTCACCAATTAAAGCACAGCCTCAGCACAGTAACACCCAAGAAAGGTAACAGTGTTTTTCTAAACCTGAATATCCGGAGTCTTTGTCAGATTCAGCTGCCGCCATACTGAAGCGATGGTTGAAGCTCTTCATTTCCATCACTCTGCCCAACAACTCCTCACAGGTGTCAGTAAATTACTATTTTGTCTGAGTGTTTCCATAGTGCCGTGGGCAGTTTTTAACACCTCTTCCATTGAGGAACTACAAAAACAGTTATGAACAAAAAAGGACTTTATCTGAATCTAAAGAAAGTTCCATCAGTATAAGACAACAGTGGAGGACAGCTGCCAGTGATCTAACTGCAGACTTCAAGAAATATCTCAAAATCCTGAAAGAATGCAATTCACATAAAAAACTTATTTATTGGACATGCCTTTCCACCCCAAAAAGGTAAAACAAACTAAAAATTAAAGGCTATTCGTAAACAAGATTTATTTCAAGAATTGGAATTACTCAGGGCATAACCTATCTTATGAAAGCTTTGTTGTCCCAAGGGCTGAATTGCAAAACAAGACAGTTGTGCTGGGTGAAACTCTTACAACAAATACAGCTGAACCTGCAAAACTGTGGTTTTGCTAACAGAGCTTGTTTCATTCTCAAGAGTAGAGTAAGTCATCAGAGAAAAGAATGAGTGATCAGTGAACACACTGGGGGCTAAAGAAATCTATGCTGCTCAAAGAGCAACACATACTGCAATACACTCCTAGGGGAGACAGAGCCTTAGAAATACCCACAACCAGAATGAAAGCATTGAAAGGCTGAAATTAAAAGCTTTGAAAAACAGTAAAATGTTCCTACACTACATACTTTTCACAACTTCAATTGCTTTCTGAGGGTAGGCAGCATCCAGTAAGACTAAGTTTCTGCTTCTTCAAAGAAAGTAATTGAAAAATTGACTAACAGAAAACTGACAGAATTAAGTGCAGAAATTTCTATTATTATTTGTAGAAATTATTTTCCTATAAAGTAACCCACTGAAGTTATGCCTCAATGTTAAGTTTTATATTTAAATTACAAAAACAGGAACTCAGGAGTCTGCAACATGGTCAGGCCAGCAGTCCATCAGCAGCAATATGCAGTACAAGCTGCTTCAAATGACACTGCAACAGACATTCTCGAATAATATACACCGAAATGCAAGTTTCTTCTTCAGGTCCTGCCAATTTTGCTAAAAGTGTGCTCCAAATACTGAGTCTTAGCACCAGTATTGAATTCTGAAATGGGAATATGACTGTCTATTACAACAATAATGGAATTATAGTCAGCAGAAGAAAATTTCCTCAAGTAGCTATTTGCATCACTTTTACTTTCCATCTTCAGTCACACCTACCTGCCTGCCTGCTAACAGGTATGGAACAAACATGGTTACACAAGCGCAACCTAGATGCTATCCCTGCAATGGAAGAAGTGGTTTAAGTCCTGATCCATGCTTTCCTCACTTAACCCTTTCCAAAACAAATGTATTTTTTTAAGAAAGTGATAAGCAGAAAAGCTGATCTAAAATAAAGCCCCAAAACCATCTCAAACTGAAACAAGAAACAGAAAGAGGGCTAGAAATAAAGTAAGAACACCTTATCTGCCAGCTTTGCATCAAGTGAAGCTTTGGGAAGGGCTAACAGCATCTTCTCTCACAGTAAAGCAAAATATCACTACCACAACCGAAAATAAACAAACCAGAAGTGCCACTCCCCCGAGGCACGGGCGTGAAAAACCTCCTGCTCATCCCCGGGCCAGAGCCGCCCCGCTGGGCCCGGCGGGCAGGCCCTGGGCCGCGCACCGCCCTTAGAACCGGGCGCTCACGCCGCCGTCCAGGGCTGGGCCTCCCCCCGATCCCACCCAGCCGCCTCCCGGGCCCACACGCCAGACTCCTGCGGCACGAGGAGAGCCCGCTCAGGCGGGCCGAGCCACTCGGCTGCCGGTCCGAGCCGCCGCCCCGCCACACGGCGAGACGCGGCAGGTACAGCACAGCCCCGGGCCCGAAGGCCGCCGCTCCCTCACGGTCGCGGCCGCGGCCGCCGCCGCCCGCCAGGCCAGGTCAGGCCGAGCCGAGCCGAGCCGGGCCAGGCCGCCCCTCACCTGGGCGCGGGGCCGCCACAGCTCAGCCGCGCCGCGCATGCGCCGCACCCGCCCAGGCACGCCCCGCCCTCACGGCCGCCGAGGGGCAGCGCGGTCGCCGCGCCCCGAGCGCGCATGCGCAGAGCCGGCCGGCGGGAACGCGGGGCTGCGGCTGCTCCGTGGCGCCGCCGGGCGCGTGAGGGAGCCGGGCGCGTGAGGGAGGCGGGAGTGGAGCTCGGAGTTTGGGGCTCCCTAGTGCTCTACAGAAAAAATACAGCTCCTCCCCACACAGAAGGTCAGGCTTTTGTGCGGCCTCTCTCAGTTCATGAATGAGGAAAGCAGAATCAAAGAGGTCTCAAATTTGTCTCAAAGAGGGAAAACTCGGCAAATAAAGGAATCACAGAATCAATTAGGTTGGAAAAGACGTCGGGTCATTGAGTTCAACCTATGACCTAACACCACCATGTCAACTAGACCATGGCACTAAGTGCTACATCCAGTCTTTTCTTAGACACTTCCAGGTATGGTGACTCCATCACCTCCGCGGGCATCCTGTTCCTATGTCTAATAGTCCTTTCTGTGATGGAATTCCTTCTCATCTCTAACCTGAACCTCCTCGGGCACAGCTTGAGGCTGTCCTCTTGTCCTGTCTCTGGTTGCTGGAAGAGGAGGCCAAATCCCACGCAGCTACAGCCTCCTTTCAGCCTCCTTGTGAGAGTGGTAAGGTCACCCCGAGTGTCCTTTTCTTCTGGGCTGAACACCCCTTTCTGCTCCTCACAGAACTTGTGCTCTAGAGCCTTCACCACCTTCATCACCCTTCTCCTGACGCACTCCAGCACCTCAATGTCCTTTCCTGAAGTGAGGGACCCAGAATTCAACACAGAACTCAAGGTGTGGTTTCACAAGTGCCAAGTACAGGGGAAGAATCACTTTTTCCTGTCTTGACTGAAAACAAAAAAAAAAAAAACAAAAACAAAACAACAAAAACCAACCAAACAAACAACTTTTGCATGGTTGGGAAGTGTAAAATACATGGATCTGGTTCACATGAACTGCATATAAACCAAGGGTAAATAAATAGGAGGAAGTGAGTCCTGGTTCAATGAAAAAGCTAGAGTAGCTATTCTTGTTCTGAGAACTGCATAAATGCTACCAGCACCGAGAAATCTGTCAGAATACTTTGCATTTGGACATGAAAGCCATTTCATTAGAGAAAACTGAAAAGACTGTGTGGAAGACCTGAGCAAATACAAAATTAATTCCTTAAATAGAAATAGAAAGAAATACTTTCATTGTTATGATGGTCTTGTTAAGGAACCTGAAATATGCTGATTTAGGAGGTGAACAAATCTAAGAAATTCCTGAATGAAAAAGAGAAGGACATTTAATCTCAGCATAGTCTCATAAACAACTTGCCAAATGCAACACAAAAATGTCTGAGGTTACATGAAATGACACCATAATTTTAAAAAATAAGGCACTGTTGGGTTCCAGTCCTACCAATCTGAAATGTGTGAGAGAACACTAGTGACTCTTATTCTTAGGATGTAGTTTTGAGCACATAAATGCCAGAGTTGGCTCTGATTACATCTAAGTTGTAGTGTGAGATGTGTGAACTCTAGACTCTGGATTTGGATCCCTTACTGTTCAGGAGTTTTGAGGTCTGACGAAAAGCATGCTAAGAATGCTGTTGTATCATCTTATATGTACAGGCATGGTCCGGGGTTGCCTTGTACCCTGAAACAGCCCTTACTGTCCTCCACAGAGGCCGGATTTCTCAGGATATGGAGTATGTGTGGCTGCTCACTGAAAACAGCTCACCAGAGAGCAAGTAGCCTGTGTTTGGGACAGACAACCTGCTGTTCAGTTTATGTGATTGGCCTTCAAGGGGCAGCAGGTAGGATAACAGAAATACTACACTGTTTAATAGAGAAGTTTTCCTGGATAGTCAAGGTAAACCTTTTTCTGAAAAAATGAAATCTTATCACCCAAATGTCCCTGAATTAAGTTGACTTAAATCTTAGGTTTATATTGAACATCATCTAAATTCTTCCTCCTCCAAATATGCTGGTTTTGTAGTTTTATTAATATTTCTGTCATTGCCCCTTCTCTCCCTTTTCATTTAATTTGACTCTTCATTGATCCAAGGTCTCATTTACTGTGAGTTCAGTGATTACAGTCAGTGGCAACAGGATGTTTTCCTTTTTCCTTATGTTATACAGTGGTTGATTTGTTTATCCTAAAGGTGAGTGTTTTGACAAATAAGAATTAACTTTTTGTTCACTTCCCTGTTTATTCTGGTTGTACAACAGGAAGAGTGAAAAGAATGTCAGTGAAGTATGACTGCATGTTTATTCAGTGTAGGTGTTTCAACACTTACTAAAAAAAGGTGTTGAATATTTTCTTTCAGAAGAAGATGCAGAAATCATCTTTCATGGCTTAAGAGCGACAAAGGCAAGTTTTTTTTCTAATTAGGTGGTTAAATAATGTGTGCTTACTGAACAATTAATAAAGGTGTTGATGCATCGACTTCATAAATGCTTGTGGGACAAAGAATCTTGTGTCCTAACACAACAGAAGAAAGAAATGTTTGGCAAACTTTGGAAATAAAGCATAGCCAGGTCAGAAGAATGTAGTTTCATATTACACTGTCTGAACTGGAAAGGTTAGGTCTGAAAACACCACGTACTCAATCTTTTTTCTTCATCTACTCTGTGCTTTGTTTTGCAATCACAGACAAAATACAATTTAGCAAGCACTATATTAAATTAGTTTGCAGATAAATAGCTTTATTCATCTCACTTCATTGAACCAGTCTAATTTTTATGGTATTTTAATACAGGTATCTTTCTTCCTTCTGTTATTCACTTCTGTAATTTTAATACATAAATAGACTAATATTGTTTAAATGATGCCTCATAAGTTTTCATTGGTCTCAACAAAAGAATTAATTCATGCAGATAAAGTGTGTTGTTGGACATTAAAACAATATTAAAGCTCGAAATCTCTTTGAAAAGACATTCCACATATATATTTTGTTAATAATAAATATCTTATTTAATAAATATCAAAGCAGGAAACATTGTGTGATCATAGAATTTCACCCAGAAGTTGACTTAACAAGATTTTTCTCTAATGAATGTACTTTAGTAATGGTTCCTTGTCTTCTAAATTTCAACTTTAGATATGTATTCTTTTCAAAATACACATCTTTCATATTGTTATATCCATCTGCAACTTCATCTTTACCATAAATGAGTCCAATTTAAGACAAGGCAGAATGAAGACAATTTCAAAATGACAAATTATTAACAGAGATGGCATAACAAGAATAAAGCACTTTTGATGCTCTTACACTCTTCTATACTATTTTATGTTGGATGAGAACAAAGGTGGATTTAATATTCCTTTTACAGCTTCTAGGCTTTTGGGCCAGCTGAGGATTTGGGGAAGCGGTGCAAAAGAGCAGCCCAATGACTGCTTTTAACCCTTGCAGCATCAGAGCATTGCAGCAGTCCAGAGTGCTCTGGAGAGCAGCAAGCCCTTCTGCGTTCCCTCACCTCCCAGCACTGTCATCCCCTCTGTCTGCTCTTTCATATCGTGTGTGGAAAACTACAGGGTGTAGAAGGATACCTTTACTTAATCAGTGCAATGCTCCTCATTATAGTGGTTTTTTTTCCTGGTGGAAGAATCTACAGGATTTAAACTGTTATCATGGAAGAGCTACTGTTTGCTCCAAAGCAGGCTAGATGTTATGTTTTCCTAGAGTTCAGAAATTATTTAGGTTTGTATTTCAGATATTGATGGCGGCTTTGGGAGTTTTGGGGTTTTTTTGGTAGGTGTTGAGCCATTTCTACAGACTCTTTTATATGGATTGTAACTTGTGCAGTGTCTTCATTTTTCTAGTTGCATTTTAATTTTGTGAACCTGAGAACTGAGAGAAGCGTCTTCACATTCTACATGGCTTCTGTATGCCGGCGTTACTTGTAATAACCACTGGGTGTCGTGAGTCTCTTTGGATTACAGGACATCGAGAAGGACAAAATTAGTCCAGTCAAGGACTGACTGCCTATGGACTTTTTTTTTCGGGTGAAAAGGTCTTTGTCTAATTTACATAGGATTGCAATAAGGAATCCCAAATCTTACTTTAAAATAATGTTACTTGTTTAGCTAAATATGTGATTCTTGGGGCTGTCCTGTGCAGGGACAGTAGCTGGACTTTGATGATCCTTGTGGTCTCCTTCCAATTCAGAATATTCTGTGAGTCTGTAGGTCTTTATTTATGTACCAAGGGCAACTAATACGAGATAGGAATACTACAAACAACAGCCTAATTCTCTACATGTTTTATTCCCATTACCATTTAGTCATTCAACTGAATGACACCTTGTTTGGCAGAAAGATGTCAGTAGGTAATTAAAGAAATCCTGATATCATAAATGTATAGCATAGCAGAACTAAGGATGAATTTGGCATCTCAAATCG